GTTGCCACCCCAACTTGCCCCCTCCCACAACCTCTCCCCACAGCTTCACCATCTCCGAGAAGGTGGACCCCTTCTGCGCCGGCCCCACCGTCTCCCTGTCGTACTCCCCCAAGACCTGCATCATCGACGAGCTGAAGAAGCAGATCATCTGCACCCCTGCCTCCATCTCGCTCACCAAGGAGCCCGGTGTGTGCGTGAAGAAGGCCTTCACCCCCACCATCTTCATCGGCAAGTCCTGCGCCATCCGCAAGACCATCCACCATCTCCGAGAACGGTGGACCCCTTCCTCGCGCCGGCCCCACCGTCTCCCTGTCGTACTCCCCCAAGACCTGCATCATCGACGAGCTGAAGAAGCAGATCATCTGCACCCCTGCCTCCATCTCGCTCACCAAGGAGCCCGGTGTGTGCGTGAAGAAGGCCTTCACCCCCACCATCTTCATCGGCAAGTCCTGCGCCATCCGCAAGACCATCGGCGTGGAGGCCGAGGTCGTCATCGGCGGCGCAGAGTTCGACATCCCCCTGAACCAGTACTTCCCCCTGTCTGATGACACCGGCAAGAAGCTGGAGGCTAAGTTCTCCAAGTTCAAGAAGTTTGACAAGGCCCTGCCCCCCCTGTCTGAGATCGTGCCTGCTCTAGAGGACGAGTTTGCCCCTGCCATCGAGGCGATCGAGGACATCCTGGACTGATCTGACTAGATGCACCCCAGGCTGCTTGACCATTTAATTACAGATTTCATTGACCCTGTTTGTGAACTTTTCTTTCCTCGGCATGTCGTGGCTGTAAGCTGCAAGTAGTGCACAGATGCAAGAAATTTGAAAGCAGGGGGGCAGGATTACAGCATGATCTCACAGGTGAAGTGCACATACTGGAGGTGTCAGTAACTGGATGGCCTTGGAGTGAATAGGACCTCAGCCCGCCCCACGACGCTTCCTTGCTGCCGGCGGTGGGGTCGTCGCCGCCTGCCGCTTGACCTTGGTCTCTTTCACCCCTGGCTCTGGCCGCTTGCGCGGCTCCTGCTTGGGCGGCTCCCGCAGGGCATCCTCGACTCCTGCATCGCCGTCCTGCAGCACCTGCAGTCTGGGAACAAAGGCGCTGGTCCGCCCCGCGACCGTGATGTGCTCTATGGCCTCGCCCTCCACCTCCGGCCGCTCTTTTCTTCCCTTGCTCCACCTGCAGGTGGACAGGGCACGCTCTGAGTTGACGCCCGTGTCATCCAGCGACACACCTTGGTCTGAAATGACAGTGCCGGCAGGCGCTAATGGCAGCGTCAGATGCGGCAGGCAGAACAGGTACCCAACAGTAATCCTCCCGCCATAGAGAGGCACTGCTGTGCCACGCAGGTGCCAAAAACACGAGGGGACACTGGCAGGGCTCCAACGCCACGTCAAGAATTGCAGGTCTCTCCCGCTCACCGTGCGTGGAAGAGCCAGGTGGCCGGGAGGCGGGCGGACTCTGCGTTGAGGTCGCTGGCCGTACGGCAGATGTGCTGCACCGCGCCATGCACACGCGCCGCCTGCAGGTGGTGGAAAGGGCGCCAGTGGGAGGGCAGCGTGGAGTCTGGGTGCCTGGCATATGCGTCTCTTTCCCAGAGAATTCTCAATCATCGGCAGGCCCCCCCGCTACGCCCAGGCACGACTGCCCAGGAGGGAACTACGCTCACCGCACATTCCTCCCATTCCCCACAGACACGATCCCTGCACCTGCTCCTCGGTCAACGCGTCGGCGCGCTGCTCCGGGTGGATGCGCGCCTGGTACAGCACTTCGTCGGCCACCCAGTTCCCGACTCCAGCCAAGAAAGACTGTGCAGGGATGGGAGGCTGGGAGGGGTGGCAGGGTGTCCGCAAGGCCTGCAAGCGCCCATTCCCCGGCACGCACACACCCTCTTGGCCGCCCAGCCGCCTCCTGGGCGCCGGCCTCCAGCCCCGCCGCCCTCGGCGCCTCCTCACCCACACCCCATTCCTCCCTTTCCGCCTCCCCCACCTGGTCCAGGAGCACGGCCTTCATGGAGCGGCGCTGGCGGGCCAGGGCCTGCGTCAGCTCCCCTACGCCGGGCATGCCGGTGAGTGGGTCCCAGCCCAGGGCCGCAATGCTGGGCAGGGCCAGCGGGTCGGCCACGTACTGCACCTGTCGCAGGTTCAGGAAAGGGTGAACGGGCACATTGGCACGCAGCCGGGGGATTGGAGGGGCTCCAGGAGCAAGGCGTGCCGGACTTTGAATCAGGTCAGCGGACGGCACGCACAACGACATGGCACGCTGGGAAGGATATCGCCACAATCAAGCACGGCGGCCGCGCCCACTGAGTGCGCCCCAGCTCTGCCAAACCTTCATCATGGGAGCCAAGCCCCCCGAGCCCCAAAGCCCTCCTTCAACCCATAATCCCCGAAACCTCACCCTGGCAAAGCGTCTCGAGTCACAGAACGCGATCTCGGCGCCGTCGTCCAGCTGAAAGTGGATCTTCCAGAACCTGGGGGGCCAGGAGGCGGCGTCCACATTCTCCCCCCGGTAGTTTGCCGCACCTTCACCCTGGAGGCGGACCGGCAAAGGTAACCAGTGGGAGGCTGCGGCTCAGCAGGGTTCGTGTGCCTCCCTGTGAAGATGTCTGCCACCTCTTCCAGCAGCCCTCATCGGCCAGCCACTGGATGCTGACCCCATAAGAGCAACCCAGCACGCAAGCAGCGATTCATGGTCCATGACAAGTCATCGCATGGAGAAGCCTGCCAGGCACCTCACCTTGGCTGCAAGCATGCCCGTCATGCCGTAGTGCAGCATGAGGGAGTGCTTGCTCGGGCCGAGCACCGCCCACATGTGTTTGCCGCGCCGATCTGTGGACAGGATCTGTGAACCCTGTAGTGCAGCCTGCAGCTTCTTGGGAGGGATGCCCTTGACAACCTCTGCGCAGTAATCAAGGAGGATAGAGGGATTAGTGAATGATAGGGGTGGTTCGGCGCTCAAGCGTACCTGATCCCTCGATAGATCCACGACTCACTGTCGTCATCGGCCACGACGGCTCTGACAATGGTCCTCCCCACGCCCAGTCTGTGCAGCAGCCTCCGCGCGCTCTCCACCTGTCCAAGAGGCACATTCAATGAAGCATTAACATCACTTTGGTTGGATCCCAAGCTTCGACCGACGTGTGATGGGAATCTTGCACACTCAGCCCCCAAGACGGGATGCCACACACCTCCGGAAGCTCTGGCATGATCTGCACCTAGAGAGTGCACCCCGCGCCTACCCACTAGCAGCAGGCTTCATTATCTCAATGATCCCACTGTATGAAATTCCAAGCAAGTGACATCGCGACATGGCGCCGAAAGCTTGCCATGGGTCGTGATCTCGTCTGTCTGGCGAGGGTCATTGAGTGGCGCGCACGTATGAGTCGAGATCAGCATCGCCAATTTGTAAGGCTCCCACAGCTTCGTTCCTTCGCGTCAATCATCCATCTGATGTCCTGAATCCTGAAGAATATATCTCGGGCGGTGATCGCAAGGTATGCGAAAAGAAGCGATCAGGACTGCTCTCTTTGAGTACCTGGAAGGGGCCGATTTAGAGGCGGCAACACAACGCACTGTGCAACAAGAGCTCGAAGACAGACTGGGGGAGCCCCTCAATGAATACAAGGAGTATATCAGGGTGGGTTCGGGCGTCTTACGGGGCCTGCAACATGGGTCACATGTGTGATGTTGGTGAAAATTCAAAGCACGGCCGCCCTGCCGGGTGCAGGCTCAGACTGACGCCTTCTTGGCCGGCTGCACGGCGAGAGGGAACGATGAGGTGGATGATGAAGACTTTCAACAGCCTCGCAAGCGAGTGAAGGGTGGGTTTGTTAAACAGTTTGGGGGAGGAGCAGTATGGGAGTGCTTGCTGGACCCACAGGGTCGCAACCATGGCGCGGTCGTCCCCCCCTGAAAAGAAGGTCATCAATCTCCTGCATGACACTCATTGCAGGTGCGGGTGCAGAGCAACATGGCAAAAATGATGCTGCCAATGGCCATCCCCTTTCTGGTGACGTGTATGCAGCTGTGAGGGACTGGCATGGGCGTGTGGGCGTCGATATCCGCCAGTATTATACAGACAAGGAGGGGCAGCTGAAGCCTGGCTTCAAGGGCCTGGCTCTGTCACCGCAAGGCTGGGGCCTGCTCAGCCAAGCTCTGCCGGTGGGTTTGTGGTTGGCATGCTGTGCGGGGCGCCTGCATCGGGGGGTGGTTTTAGATCCTACAGTCTTGTTGGTCCTGATGCACCAGGCTTGCACTGCAACTCACCCTCCGCAGAATCTCTGCAAGCGACTGGATGCCAGGACAAGCGGAGATGCCGTCGAGTTGGATAAGAACCAGCGAGCATCTGTGTCCGAGTTCAAAGGCGTGCCTGGGTGGGATTGGGCTGGGCGGTAGGGGGTCACCGTGGCGGCCCGAGAAGATGCGCCAGGACGGCCACAGGCTTGCTTTCACCTCCAGGATCGCCTTGCGCATGACATCTGCTGGTTGTCGTGCCCTTGTCACCGGGGTGCGCTGCGATGTCCTCCACGCACCTGCAGGCACCTGGGCGTTGGACCTGCGGCAGTGGCATGCCGGCTCGGACGCAGGCCTGATCCCGGGAAAGAAGGGCGTGCGCCTCGGCCGGGAGCAGGCCTCTGCCCTGCTGGCTGCGGCGCCATTGCTGGACAGCAAGCTCAATCGCAAGGGTGAGCGGCGAAATGCAGAGGATGGGCCTCTTGCTCGGAAAGGATATGGCCGACCGCGGTGTAGGCAGGGATGAGTTGCTCAGGGCCCAAATGGTGCCGGACCTCCCCAACACACCACCAATGTTTCGCAGCACCCCATCAACAAAGCGCACCAATTTCCCTTCAGGTGCTGCCGGGCCCTCTGTGGTGGACCACCCCACACCAGCTTCCAATGCTAAGCCGACTGCGCAGCATCCAGGTCCTAGTCTCACTCACGCCAAACCCTCGCCAGCCCCAATCACTGTGCAGCCGGGCCCAGTCAGTGAGGCGGCTGATCGTCCCCCAGATGCAGGTCCCGTAGAGCTGGGCTCAAACAAGCGTGCCGAGGTCACGACCTTCAAGGGGCGGAGCCTGCTGTCCCTGCGCGAGTACTATGAGGTGCGATGGAAAGAAATTGAACCCGGCGTGCCCGCCCTGGGCCCAGGGAATTGCGAGAAATGGTTGCATGCAAGGGACTGGCTGTGTGCTCTTTGAATGGCAACTCCTTTAAATTCATCTCAGCGTCTATGACACTGTGCTAGTGGTGGGGATTCTCATGTCACAAGCTCCCTCCAAGTCCCACCCACCCCAACAGAAGGATGGCCAGCTCCTTCCGGGAAAGCGCGGCATCGCATTGGCGGCTGACCAGGTGCTGGCCCTGCTAACAGCCGCGCCCCAGCTCACGGCAGGACTGGAGCGCCGGGATGACAGCTGCCGCGCCCAGCTCTCAGCGAGGTGGGTCGGCATAGGGGTGGGGCGCGAGACTGGGTCATGGTGTGGGATGGGTATACAGATCCAGCTGGAGACGGTGCTGTAAGCCCAGGATGAGTCCACCACAACAACATCTCCCCCTCACAACCAACCATGCAGCCGACGCGCCGGTGTCTCCGCTTTCAAGGGCCGTCACTCCATAGATATCAGGGAGTGGTACGAGGTGAGCCAGGCTGTCATGTCAGGAGGGCGACACTTGTGATGGCATTCCGAGCAGGGTGGCCCCCTGGATCAGTGATGCCCCCCAAAACGCCGTCAAATACCCACCGGCGCCCGAGCTGCCTGGATTCGGTGCAGAAGGATGGCCAGGAGCGCCCTGGTGCCAAAGGGCTCAGCCTATCCCAAGAGCAGTGGGGTATCTTCGTGGCAGCATTGCCTGCCCTACAGGCCGCCATGTGATGGGTCCAGGATGACAGCCTGAAGGCTTGGAGGCGCGAGCCTTTCTCTTTCAACGTTTCACTTGAGATCGTATCATATTTGCAGTTCACAAGTTTTCTAACAACGAGATAATGTCTTGGGGGTGGGTGTTTAGACATCCTGGAAAGAGAATGTTGCCCAGAACTGTCTCAGACCTGTTGCTTTTCAAGGTGCAGAGCACTGGATGGGCATGAAGTGCCGAGGCGTGAGTGCTCCGGCAACGCCATGGGTTGCAGCAAGGGTCCGATCCTCAGGCGAGACCTCAATCCTATCAACGAGCGAGCACGAGGAAAAGCCTTCAATTCCAGCAACTGCTCAGCGCTCGTTTCAGCGCGTGCACGCGGCCAGCACCTCCCGCAGGGCAATGGCCCAGTCCATGCACTCCTCCACGGAAGCCGTGCGGAAGGTGCGCGCGCGCGTGCGGGGCGCCAGGAACAGGCTCCTGGCCAGGCTACCGGCCGCAGTCTCCACCAGCCTGAACACGGGGGCCTCGCCTGCAAGGGTAGCGAGGAAGAGATGGGAGACAGGGTGCACCCATTACCGCCCATGTTGACATGTGCTGCACCCGCAGCAGGGGTGGCAGAGAGCTGCCCCTCACGTGACCAGACAGCATGTGCCCGCCTCCCCCCGCCTCCACCCTTGTATGCAATTGCCACCCCTTGAACCCATCACCCTGCTCAAAGGCGCAGCGGGCCAGGGCCACGCTCTCCGCCAGGACGGGCGTGGGCGGCCCCTGCACCATGCTAACCTCCGGGTCCCCTCCCGGGCTGCGCGCCAGGCGGTGCAGGAACCCGGCGCGCGTCAGCACAAATCGGTCGGGCACCCAGACACCGCGCGCAGCGTCCCAGGCCTCCATGGCCCCCGCACGCAGGACCTCGGGGCTGGCGGCCAGCTCGCGGCGGACGCCGGCCAGCAGACCGGCCTGGCGGGCGGCCAGGGCTTCGCCCGCCGCCACGCTGTGCGCCGCCGTGTCGCAGAAGGCGGCCAGGTCGGCGTCCATGTCCGCGCTTTCCAGCAGGGCCTCCAGGCGCGGCGCGGCACGCTCGACGCAGGCCAGGCTCTCCCTGTGTGGGAGGTGAGGGGGGGAGGGAGGGAAGTACATCGCGTGTCAGTAGGTCTTCAACCACGCAGGTGTAAAGCGGTATGCCCGGGTCCCAAACAAAGACGTCAGCGCCTGCACTGCTCCGCTATGAGCCGCACAACGAGAGGGCACCACGCAGGTCGACCAGAGCACGGACTGCCACAGGATATCCCCGGCCCACCCGGTCCAACTCGATCCCGCCCACCCGTAGATGCGGACCGAGGCCGCGAGGGTCGTGGACAGCACAGCAGCGCGCTCCCGCTCCATGCTCTCCACCTGCGCCCCCACCTTGGCCAGGAAGCGCCGCTCTGTGGGAGGAGGTCGGAGCCAGGATGGGGCATGGCTGCACTGCAATACAGACTGGGATGCGCAGCGCCTCGGAGGACAACCCCTGACATCCCAACACCGTCGGGGCCCCTGGGCCCGTCGACGCATTCTCCCTTTCCCCCCACCACCAAAAAGACGCCATCACCACCCCTGCTCGCCCACCCACCCGCTTGCTGCGCGGCCATGAGCCTGGCCTGGCCCTGCACCAGCCGCGCTTCCGTGACCCAGGGGTCGGCCTCCACGCCGCCACGGCCCAGCGCGCCCGGCGCGCGGCCGCAGGCCGCGCGGTGCACGGCGGCGGCTGCCTGCATCGAGCGCCGCGCGGCGTCGACGCCGGCCTTGAGCGCGGCGGCGTCGCTCGCGACCCCCGCGGCCTCCCGGCGCAGCCGGTCCACCAGCGCCCTCAGCGTCTGGGCCTGGGCGTCCAGTCCATCGGCGGCGCGGGCGTGGCAGGCGGCCGCCGCACGCGGGGCCTCCTGGAAGGCCGCCAGCGCGCGGCGCAGCCCCGGGCCGTCAGTCTCCGCGGCCAGGGTCACGCCCGCCGCCAGGCCCAGCGCGCGTGCCTGGGCCAGCTCCGCGCCCGCCAGCGCGCGCAGCGCGCCCAGCGTGCGCTCCGAGGCGCTGCGCGCGGCGGCCAGCCGCCGCTGCATCAGCGCCGCCAGCGCCTGGTTCACGCCGCTCTCCTCGTGCGCGCCCGCGTCCAGGCGGTCGATCACCGCGGCCTGGCGGTCCAGCTCCGGACCGTGCTGCAGCGGCTCGAAGGAGGGCTGGCAGCGCGGCGAGGCGGAGGCCGCCTCCGCCCGCGCGGCTCGCGCCAGCTCGTCGTTGTTCACGATGTCGGCGGCAAAGTCAAACTGAAGGTGGGTAGTGCAAGAGGGTGTGGTCAAGTGAGCTGGGTCGCACAGAGGGGTGCACTGTGATCCTGACTCATGGTTTGTCGCGCGAGGTGGCCGGGCAATGTTGGCCCTACCCACTACCGAGAGTAAGAGTGCACCTCCCCCCCCCCCCCCCTCTCTCCTCTCTTGCAACCCAAACATCCCACGCACCTTGCGGGGGGTCACAGCCGCCTGCAGCCTTGCTACATGACTGGGATTGGAGCGTCCGTCGACGGACAGGTCCCCGCTGGACACGGGGGACAGCTGGTGGGGAGAGCGGGGTGCTGCATCATCCTGAAGACCTTCGGGCCGCCGCAGGCTGAGGGGGGGTGACCCCAGGGGATGGACCCTTGAACCTGAGCAAGATTGAGATGTGTGATACTCTAATGCCACAAGTCTGCGCAATATTCAAGGCGCAACATTCAGCACCCGTTTGACAGGCGTAGCACCGACGCGTAAGTGATCTGCAGGCTCCAGGCCACCCACCATGATCCGGTTCCAGCGAACCAGACGGCATCCTGTTCTCACTCCATGATTATCTGATTGCAATGGAGACTGTCAGGCGACGGTGGAGAATGCTCTGTGGGAGTCGGGATGCGATGGTCCGAGCTGACTTCGATTTCCGCGCCTGGGCGAGATTGCCGGCATGGAGTGCTGATGAACAGCATGAGCATTCTTGCACCCGAGAACTAGGACAGGGCGATAGGAAAACACTCCATTTCCAGGTCATGCTTCGTAATTCACCACCGGTCTGTACATCCTAGGCGGCATAATGTGTACGCCTCCTGGCACAAAAAACACAGATGGCAAAGGAGGATCCCAGTCACAGTGCGCTGGCCAATTGGGCAGCATCAGGACTGTGTGCCACACGAACACTCCATAACAGCTGCTCCTCATCCATGCATTGGTAATCGTCCTGTCTAGCTGCCTCGGTAGGTGGAGTAGCCGTAGGGGTTCCATGTCAGCGGAACATGGAAGTGGTCATTCACCTGCCATGAGAAGAGGGATGATGGCAGTGTCAGGCTGCTACCTTGAACATGCATCAATGCTTGCGCCTCCTGCAAGGTACATGGCGGGCTTCTGCTGCCCTACTGTTCCACCATTAAACACCCGGCTCCCAGCTCATTCCGCCGCCACAATACCTGAGACTCCAGGATCTCGAAGAACACGGAGACGCGCGGGTAAAAGGGCTTGGCAGGGAAGAAGGCCGGGTGTTCGGCTCTGCACCGCCGCATGTACTCACTGGTGTCAAAGGTGATGCGGTAGACCCCGGGCGCGACGCTGGCTGCGGGGGGCAGCAGATCCGGCACGCGGCCGTCACCATTGGTCTTGCCCGCCCCCACATGCTGCCACGCGTTGCTCGAACCCGGAGCGGCCCTCTCCAGCACGATTCTCACGCCGGAGGCGGGCTTGCCCCTGGCGGTGTCCAGCACGTGTGTGGTGATGGGGGAACGCAGGCTCTCCCCTGCAGGTGTGCATGGTATACTTGGACAGGGATCATAGGGGCAGGAGGGTGGAGGCAGTTGACTTCTCAACAGCAAAAGAGGAGAACCAAGAGATGGTGTCCTCGAGAAGGAGGGAAAAGCTGCATGTCAAGCGTCGACATGAGACCTCAGGAAAGAGCTCAGCAAGCGCCATAATTACAGCGACAATGTAGGTCACCTGGTGGGTCCAGGTGGGCCTGGAGCTGACCTGTTCGGCGCGCAGCCACGTTGGCGGGGGACGGCACGGCCCCCACCAGCTTGGCCAGGCGCAGCTCCGTGATCTTCATCTGCTCGCCCGCTGCGACGCTCAGCTCGGTGGCAGGGTCATTGGTGTACCTATGAAGATGGGGGGAGTTTGGGCAGGGGGGGTCGTCATATGGATGGGATGTGCTTTGTTGGCATGTGGATACAGAGTGATCAGATAGTGAGTGAGCTGCTGGCTGGGAGCGGACGTGCGAGGAAGGAAACCCTGAGGATCCCGTGGCACGAGATTTGATCCCGGTTGCGGGGCAACCCGCGTGCAAACGGCTGAAAAGCAGCTCCGGCGAGCTGCCAAACCCTTGTTCTCTTCCGACTTCTCGAAGTTTGTCGAAAACATCCCCCCCCATCTCCCAACCCTATCATATCGCGAGGATCTTGTGCCTAGCACTCGAGCCAGCGACCATGGTGACTCCCTTCACGTACTCCCCCTCGCGGGCCTTCGCCCCGAGCCGCAACTTGACTCCCACCAAGTTCGCGGCCACCTCCAAGAACTCTGGCAAGGTGAGTCATGGGAATGGCGGGGCGGGTGGGGTGCATGAGCGGGTTCTCTGCAGGGCGACCGTTGGTCCATGAGCGCATCGCGGAGCCCCGAACCCCCCGCCCTCCTCCCCGCAGTTGGACCGGTTCATCCCCAACCGCACTGCCAGCAACCTCGACATCGCCTCCTATACCGTGGGTGAAGCCGAGAACTACAGCGCGGCCTCCCCCGCCAAGGTGAGGGTGTCCGTTGGTCCGCTCCCGGTCGCGTGCTCCCACAGCGCCCAGGGTCGCGCCAACCCGACTGTGCTCCCTTGCCGATGATGGTGTGCTGCTCCTTGCCGCTCGACCACCGTGCCTCCCAGCCCGTCCGTCCACTGCTCCAGCCCGCGCCTCCGCTCCACCGCCGCAGGAGTACCGCAAGCAGCTGGCCGCCAGCCTGGGCACGGAGCCCTCCTCGCGCGTGCTGGCCTTCAAGCAGAAGGCGCCTGCACCCCCGGAGGGCCACGTGTCCGGCTGCGCGTCGCTGTACGCCGCCGGCGCGGGCGGCGCCAAGCCCCGCCGCGCGGCGCGCGCCGTGCCGCAGCAGCCGGAGCGCATCCTGGACGCGCCCGAGCTGATGGACGACTACTACCTCAACCTGCTGGACTGGGGCTCCTCCAACACCGTGGCGGTGGCCCTGAACCAGAGCGTGTACCTCTGGTCCGCCTCCTCCGGCGCCTGCGAGGAGCTGCTGCGCTGCGGCGAGGGCGACTACGTCTCCAGCGTGGCCTGGGCCGCCGACGGGCGGCACGTGGCGGTCGGCCTCTCCTCCTCCGCCGTCCAGGTGTGGGACGCGGAGCGGCGCCGCCCGCTGCGCGCGCTGGCCGGGCACTCCGCCCGCGTCGGCGCGCTGGCTTGGAACGGGCACACGCTGAGCACCGGCTCGCGCGACGCCAGCATCGCCTGCCACGACGTGCGCGTGCGCGCGGCCACCACGGCCGTGCTGCGCGGCCACGAGGGCGAGGTGTGCGGCCTGCGCTGGTCGCCCTCCGGCGCGCAGCTGGCCTCGGGCGGCAACGACAACGTGCTCAATGTGTGGGACGCCGCGGCGGCGGGCGCGGCCCCGGGCGCTGCGCCCGCGCACCGCCTGACCGCGCACCGCGCGGCGGTCAAGGCGCTGGCCTGGTGCCCCTTCCAGGGCAACCTGCTGGCCAGCGGCGGCGGCACCGCCGACGGCTCCATCAAGTTCTGGAACACGCACACAGGCGCGCTGGTGAACAGCGTGGATACGGGGTCCCAGGTCTGCGCGCTGGCCTGGTCACGGCACGAGCGCGAGATCCTGTCCAGCCACGGCTTCGCCCAGAACCAGCTGTGCCTCTGGAAGTACCCCACCATGGCCAAGGTGGCGGAGATGACGGGGCACACCTCGCGCGTCCTGCACCTCGCCACCTCCCCGGACGGCGCCACCGTTTGCAGCGCGGCCGCGGACGAGACGCTGCGCTTCTGGCGCTGCTTCGGCGACGCCGCGCCCGCCGCACCGGCGGCAGCCAAGGCCACCGCGGGGCTCAGCTCCTCCCTCCTCCGCAGCGTCAACGTGCGCTGAAGGGGTGGTGGGGCAGTGGCCGGGGTTTGGGAGGGGGGGGGGGGCAGCCATGTTCCATCCGCATCCGCTCCTCACCGCAGGTACCCTGGAGCGGGGGGGTGGGTGCATGCATGCATGTGTGAGGCCAGACTTTCACATCGGAGGGGTCGGGAGTGCAGGGTGTTGAACGATTCATCCGTGCCCCAAAGATGAGGCCGTGCCGGGGTTAAAAAAACCACGCACCTGGCCGGCCGGTGGCGCCGAGCTCATCCTCCTGCTGTTTCCTGCATGCCTGTGTCGTCGTTGAGGGGTTCCCGTCCGCGCGCGCGCCCGAAAGGGCCGCCGCGAACCAACGGCGTTCCTCAACGCCCCACTGGTTCTCTGGAAGATGGCACGACCGACGTGGCGGCGCTGGGCTGGCGATGTGTCTGGGCACGGGGCCGTGCCATGCGCAGCTGGTTGGCGGGGCGCGCTGGTGTGGCCACTTCCTAGCTGTGAGCGGACTTCCCACGCGTCGAGCTGTACGTGATCCATCGGCGGGATCCCCTGCGATCACGAACCTTGCTCTGAGGGATCCCTCTCGCTCCCACCCACCCCCCCATCAGCAAAAGCCAGCCAAACAAACCACACCCAGCATCACCTCTGCTTCACCATGGCCAGCATGCGGTCGGCGGGCGTGCCTGCCGCGCAGGCGATGAAGATGTGGCCGAAGCGGGCCTCGTACCGCGCGTTCCAGTCGGCCAGCGCGGCCAGGGTGGCCTCCGCCGCGCCGGCGGCCGAGGACTGCTCGTCGCGGCTCAGGTCAGAGAAGGCGCCAGACCTCTGAGCCAGGCCGCGCCTATCCCCCAGGCGGGGGTGCGCGGCGAAGGCCTCCAGCCAGCCCGTGATGGGGGTCTGTTGAAGGGGAGGGGGGCAGGATGGCCAGAGCCTCAGCATGAGCACATGGGGTGAAGCCCTAGGTGGTCGCATCTCACATCGCCTCCGCACCTCATTCCACCAGGCTGAGCGAGCACCCTCGATGAGCTTTTCCATGCTCTGGAACGGCTGCTTGGCCAGCACCGCGTCTGCCCATGCCCCAGAGTGGCAGCACGTGAGAAGGGTTTCGCGCGATACGGGTATTGCCATTCTGGTCTGTGCACAATCAGACCACGTCGAGGTGATATATCAGTGGCTTACGAGCATGCACAGGTTGCTGCGATGGACAAGAGTACAGGTTGCAACCCTCGCTCGCGCGCGCGATCTCTCGGTGTATCGATTTCATGGGATCTCGTGAGGGGGCATTATACTGGCAACCTCGATGCTTTGCCCATCTGGAAAGGTGGCCATTGTCCTCTACCTCCAGACTTGCATGTAGCTTGTCTCAACCACTGTTCCCAGCAGCAGTATTAAGGGTGAAGTCGTAGTAAGGACGGCATACTGGGGGCACCTGCAGGATGGAAGGTGAATAACCAAGCGTGTGTATCTGAAGTGAGGAGAACCAAACCAATTACACTGCAGCCTGCAAGGCTTCACATGCTTCCAGAACCCCTTAGACTACCCACACTGAGAGGAAATACCCTCCCCTTTCCCTGCCAAGCACTCCTACTCACCCTTTCCCCGGTTCTCAGGGTCAGACTGCTTCCGCACCGGCTGGAGGACACCGACCGGGGGCAGGGCATGATCTGAAGGTCTGTGTCGAAACACTGCCAGATCTCCTCCAGCACATTCCTGTTGCGAGGTCCAGGCATTTAATGAGCAGGTTCGACAGTGGGCAACAGGCTTGGGAGAAAACTTCTGGTCTCAAACAAACAGTCAGCATGGGAGGACGTCTTGCACCCTCAGACGTCAGACCAACAAGATTGCTGGCCCCTCCCCTCACCCCTGCTGGTTGCATCGAAGCACGGGAGCCTCCCCAAAGGCACTGGTCAGGACATCCAGTAAGCGCTGCCGGGGCCCCCCCCCCGCGGTCCGGGGGTTGATGCCCGCATTGAGGAGTGCCTCCTGTGAAGGGCATTGTACATTGCCATACTTGAAAAGACTGGGGCTGCAAGGCTGTTGGTAGGGTTCAAGCCCAGTGGCTGTGACCCAGCCATGCAGATGCAAGCAAAGCACACCAAGGGAGTCTCGCTCCCCACACTCACGTTGATCTCATACTTTGTGTTGAGGTTGACAGCAGCCCCAAAGTACTCGGCCTGGGTTGTCAGGAGGGTGAGCGAGCAAGTCCCGTGCTTGCTCCACTCGTAGGACCAGAACTCCTGGTTTGACCCTGGAAAGGGGGTTTTAAGGGGAGGGCCTCCAAGGACGGCAGCCATGCTTGCAGAGGTACGCCCTTCTGGTGCCTTGATCATCCATGCATACTGCAGGTTGAGTGTACACACGCCCCCTAATACCAAGCCATGAGCCAAAAGTTCAGCGCTAGCTCGAGGCTACCCTGTCCTTCAACCACAGCAAGGCGCAGAAAGCCCGACTTCCCCATACTCTCAGCGCACCTGTGTAGCTGACCCATGTGCATGCCAGTGAGTTGATGAGACTCTGGTTGAGGTTTGTAGTTGCAAAAATGTCGTTGGGGTTGCAGGATTGAGGCGAGTTGCCGGTCTCGTACTGGGGCCAGAGACCATGGATGGTGAAGGCAGCACTGTGCGTTTCAGGGATGAGATGAAAGGAAGGTGAAAGCTAGCTCTTTCAATGCATGTCGAGGGCCAGTAGCGGAGCTCCGTCTCATCCCCTTTCGATCGTGATGTTGTGGAACACGTCTGACCCCATTAATCAGCTGGAAACTCAATAGAAACATGGTATGGATGCCACCTACTCACACGGGAGAGCTGTTGCACCGAGTCTGGCTACAGAAGGCGGGGCCCCACTGCCTGTGGTGGGGGTGAGGATTGCTGGCCTAATGCGCTCTCGTTCACCGCAATGTCGCCTGACTCGTAATCTATTCCGACCAGGAACAACATTACCTGACGAGCAAAAAGAAGTCGAAGCCAGGGTCGGTGTTGCCAGAGATTTCTCTGGTCCCGTAGCCTAGCAACAAGGCGATAGCAAAAATAAGGAAGTGTTTGGGCATGGTGATGAAGGGGTCGCTGTCCTCGTTACATACTCCAGGTATCTAAACTAAAAATATTCCGCTGGTCGTTCGAGGGGGAAAACCCTGCATTCCATAGCTCAGCTGAGCTCTTCGTTCTATCCTAGATCGGTACTCACGTCAACACGCATGGAGCCGGACACTCGCTCCTTGCCAAGCTTCTGAATTCCTTCCTACTAGTCTATGCAGGGCAACACCTGATTATGAAGATCCGACAAATCCTGCATCTCCACGACAATGTGGTGTGCATGCATGGCAGCACCAGGAACTGAGCTGAGCCTGTGCCGTTTGATGCTAGCCACGTATGTAGTGGGTGAGCTTCCCCCATGCAGAGGTCTCATGCTTATGCTGTCGAGACCCTCGGACTGACCCATTTCCCTCAAAGCCCTTCCTTGTGGTATTCCCTTGGGCAGGCAGAAACATACAAGGTTGATCATCGGGGCAAGCTGGATCCAGCCTCTTAGGCATGGGAATGTCAACACACCTGCTGTTAGTCAATTACTTGATGCAATGCACCCTGAACTGTGGTTATTGCAATCGTCAAGGTCTGTTCTCGGAGGAATGGATTATTTCTATCCGCAAGGGTCAAAAGGGGTTCAGTTCAGCTGGTCACGGGTGGTCTACACTTGAGACTGTGTGGGTATGTGCAACCCATCAACAATAAGCATTTGGCGGTCGGGGTTATCCTGGGTGGTCTAATGGAAGCAACTTTGCATCTACAGTTCCTGCATCGAGGGCTCTCAACTCTGCTTTTGGGCAGCTTTGCCATTCCCTCAGACCAGGTCTTGAACGCACTTTGGGGGAATCTGTCAAGGAGGGGTGTTGAGAGCACAGCAATGTGATGGACAATTCTGGGACTCTCACTGTTAACACCCGCTATCCCAAGACAGTCCAGCTCCAGCAGCAGGTTGTTATTTCAGCACAGAGAATGATACCCTCTAATAACTGCCCAGCACCTGCCCACCTTGGCACCCCTTTCGAAGAAGACATAGTCGTCACAAGTGCTGTAAGCTGTGGACGGGGGGCACTCCTGGATCTCCATATCCTCGTTGAGGCACAGCCAGATCTCCTCCAGGATGTCGTTGAAGTCACTGCGTGGGGAGCAGGTGCACAGCACGCAGGGTACTGATGCTGCGATCGTGGATGCCGATGAGGTCCCACCACCACGGTCTCAGCAAAGCCTGCAAGCAAGCTGGATGCATGGCAGCGGCCCATCTTACTTGTTCTCGCCACATTGCAGTACGGGTGCTTCGCCAAATGCATTGGTGAGGGCGGTCTCAATATCAGAACTCTTCACACGGATCTCTTTCTGGAGATCGATTCCAGCAGCCCGCAGCGCTTTCTGCACGGGGATGGGTATGTGTGTGAGAACAGACACATGTGTATGTTGAGGTGCTGTGTTGCTGGGGCACAGGTCTCCGATGACTTATGGTGGACCACCCACAAAGTATGTCCACCTTGGGATGCCAGGGGTCTGACAGCCTTACCTGCCCTCCCTCCCTAACCTCAGTAATGCATTCCCGCCATCCGGCAACTCACATTGATGTCATACTGCTTGTCCACCCTCATCGTCGTCTCAAAGAACTCTGGCTGGCTTGTGATGATGGGCGTGGAGCAGGTCCCATGCTTGTCCCACTAGTGAGCCCAGAAGCCTGAGTTCGCCCCTGGCAATTCGAGGATTTGGTGACCTTGAGACCATTGTAGGTTGCACCCAGAGCCCCATCTCCCAAAGCTGGAATGCACGACTCCTTTGTCTTCTTGCCACTCCGAAGTATCGGCAGCCGTTCACCCCCAAATCTAAGCCAAAATAGCACAGCCTCAGTCCAGCAACATGGTCTGTGTTCGACGCTGGCTGTGGTGCGAGCGTCAAGCGCACCTGCGTAGCTTGGCCAGTTGCAGTCCATGGCCCTAGTGAGATTCTTTTCCAGCATGGGCAGGGAGAAGGGATCCGCGCAGTCGCAGAACTGGGGGTAACTGCCATTATTGTAGTTGGGCCACAGACCATGGATGGTGAAGGTCTCACTGTGTAGTGGATCGGATGGAGGGGTGGCTGGGCGCCCGGCGGTAGCAGGTGGACAGAATATTTGGATTTCCCGCCAACACAGACTTGACGGCAGCCTTCCGACGAGAAACCCAAATCCCGTCCGACCCCGCGAGATGTCGCCGTCACTCAATGAAAGCTTGGGATGAAACTTACTAGGCTTCAGTTGTACAGTTCCCGCCAAAGATTCTGGCGGGCTTGTGATGATGGGCGTGGAGCAGGTCCCATGCTTGTCCCACTCGTGAGCCCAGAAGCCTGAGTTCGCCCCTGCCAATTCGAGGATTTGGTGACCTTGAGGACATTGTAGGTTAGCACCCAGAGCATCATCTCCTCAAGCTGGAATGCACGACTCCTTTGTCTTCTTGCCACTCCGAAGTATCGGCAGCCGTTCACCCCCAAATCTAAGCCAAAATAGCACAGCCTCAGTCCAGCAACATGGTCTTTGTTCGACGCTGGCTGTGGTGCGAGCGTCAAGCGCACCTGCGTAGCTAGGCCAGTTGCAGTCCACGGCCCTAGTGAGATTCTTTTACAGCATGGGCAGGGAGAAGGGATCCGCGCAGTCGCAGAACTGGGGGTGACTGCCATTATTGTAGTTGGGCCACAGACCGTGGATGGTAAAGGTCTCACTGTGTAGTGGAGCGGATGGAGGGGTGGCTGGGCGCCCGGCGGTAGCAGGTGGACAGAGTATTTGGATTTCCCGCCAACACAGACTTGACGGCAGCCTTCCGACGAGAAACCCAAATCCCGTCCGACCCCGCGAGATGTCGCCGTCACTCAATGAAAGCTTGGGATGAAACTTACTAGGCTTCATTTGTACAGTTCCCGCCAAAATAGCAGAAGGCGGGTCCCCATTGCCTGCGCGTCGGAAGAGGTTCGGGTTTGGCTCCATCCGTGCCTCCGGCACTAAAGGTGTGCGAATGGCAGGGACCACTACAGGGATGCATCACCTGACGAGAATGAAGAAGTCCATCCCTGGTTCGGAAATGTTCTCGAAGCCCTGGGTGGCTTGACCATGGGCCAGCATGGCCAGGCCGAGGAACAATACCAATCTCATCGTGGACGAGGAGGGTGCCCGCTGTGCCTGCGAACCCATCTCGCAGAACAACAAGTGCAACACTAAAAACCTTTGGAGGCCACAAGCAGCAACAACCCCAAGATATGTTGACTTCCCAGATGGCTCTCCTCTCCAGATGCCAATGGAGGCGAGCGGTACAGAATATTCAGGGCCGCCGGAAGCTGCGCGGTTGCGCGGATTCATGGAGGGGCGAATCTGCAGCATCTTCACCAACTCTGTGAAACGCCAAAGAGTCGATTTGAGATCGTACAGTATCTTTGTGTGGCCTATCAGAGAGACGTGGTGAGCCTGCTCTCCATGCCTCCGCACGATGCTGTTTGTGTTTGCCAGTGTTGTTGCCCTCGACGCGCGTCCCAGAGCATGCAGACGGAAGAGGCCATACCCCTTAGGATGCGACTACGCGACGTGGCAACACCCCGAGTCGTGTCAGTGGTGGGAGCGATTGGTCTGATGGATGTGCTATGCCGCGATAGTGTCGCGTAGTTATGGTGGGAATCTCATGATCCCGTCGATCTCGCACGATTGCAGCGGAAGCTCTCCACCACCATTTCTCAAACACGAGGCGAGTTGCATTTCCGTCAATGCGCCCGGATATCGGATGCTGCGCCTCCTTGTCCTATGGCGGGACACGAGGACTCGGCTGCAGACTGTTCGCACACTTTGTTGGACAGACTACGGGTGCGAGCCAGGAGTAGACACGCAAGCTCACGAGGTCATGCCCCGTTTCCATTACGTGTCCCTCACATTCAGAACCAACGCAGCAGACGGGAAACACCATCCAGAAAACTTTGCAATGGCGCCCCTGTATTCCTGCCTCTTGGGTGCAACGTGTCTTTCCCCCCAAGCCGACCCGTCTCTGTGCGGACGAGCACTTGCCCCCTTTCCCCTCGCCATCACAATAGTGTCGCGTAGTTATGGTAGGAATCTCATGATCCCGTCGATCTCGCACGATTGCAACGGAAGCTCTCCACCACCATTTCTCAAACACGAGGCGAGTTGCATTTCCGTCAATGCGCCCGGATATCGGATGCTGCGCCTCCTTGTCCTATGACGGGACACGAGGACTCAGCTGCAGACTGTTCGCACACTTTGTTGGACAGATTACGGGTGCGAGCCAGGAGTAGACACGCAAGGTCACGAGGTCATGCCCCGTTTCGATTACGTGTCCCTCACATTCAGAGCCAACGCAGCAGACGGGAAACACCATCCAGAAAAGTCTGCAAGGGCGCCCCTGTATTCCTGCCTCTTGGGTGCAACGTGTCTTTCCCCCCAAGCCGACCCGTCTCTGTGCGGACGAGCACTTGCGCCTTTTCCCCTCGCCATCGTTGTTGGAAGGCAGGGCGAAGACAAATTATGTCGACGCCGCTGCTTTTGCCCCCCGCGCAGCCAACTTGGCCTCCTGATGCGAGTTGCCGGTCTCGTAATGGTGTCAGAGGCCATTGATGGTGAACACAGCACTTCATCTTTCGAAAGGAGGAAAAGAGAGGACAGTGAAAGTGGCCATTCGCGCCCCAAGTCGAGGGACAGAAACCGCGCACCGCTCGAATGCTGTGCCCCCTCGATGGTAAAGATGTTGAATTCTTTGCATCCCAGCAGTTAGCTTGGTTATGCTCAGCATTGGACATGAACGATATTCTGTCATACGAAGGAGCTGATGCATCGTGTCTGACTGCGGAGTAAGGGGTTTTAGCCCACATGGTAAGTATCTAGACATCTACCTCTAGACATAAGCAGGGTATTACCAAGACTCACATACCTGACACAAAGAGCTTGTCAATGTTAAGCTACAGAGCGAAGCACTGAGGCCACGCTCGCAAGTCTATATTGTTGAGACCTGTAGACTCTTGCATCACATTGATGATAATCATTTGAGGTGTGTCAACTCTGCAAACGAAGTGGTACAAAGCCAGACCGTTTGTAAAAATGGCGTAGAAATCCCATATGTGTATGCACTCAGCCCCATCTGGTATACTAATCTCTTCATTGGGCTGATGCAGTTCACCCAAAAGTGTATGAATTACAATCATCTCGGATCTCCTCCTGGAGGGACGGGGGGCAATCAGATCCACAAGGGTTAAAAAGGTTCTAGTCCAGCTAAATGCAAAAATTGGGAATCATGTGGGTATGTGCAAGCCTTAAGAAACATGCATTAAGGAAACAGGCACCCTTAGTACTTACAAATCTGACAGTCTGCATCCCTTAATCCGACATACAAGGCCCTCGTTTCTGCTGTGTGCTTCTTTAGGGCAAGTATCGGCGACAGCTGGGGAATTTCTGTGGGTGCGAGGTGTTAAGAGCAAATGGAATCGGTGCACACGATTGGAATCTCAGAGTCAGTCATCTGACAAGGCAGTCTCATTCCCTCCCATATGACTCAAAACCCCAAACAGAACAGCAGAACAGCACAAGTTCTGAGAACGGCACCCTCGTCCTGGTAGTATAGCATCAGCCCACCTCATCGCCGCTTTCGAAGTACACCCAATCTCCACATGTGCTCGACGCCGTTTTACCAGGGCAGGACCTGACCGTGTAGTCCTTATTGAAGCACAGCCAGATCTCCACTAAGATGTTCCTATTAATGAGCGGAGACATAATGACCCAGCATTGAATCTTTTGGCAGAACAAATGCAGAGTCCAGATTCCCTAGATCACCAAATTAGGAACGGCTCCACCCTGATCTAGTTTGGCATGCCTCCGGGACTTCTCACCTGTTCTTTCTGCATTTAAGGGTCGGAGCTACTCCAAAAGCAGCGGTGAGAGCCTCCACGATATCCGACTTCTTCACGCTGTTGTCAGTCTGAGGATCGATTTCAGCATTCGACAGGGCAGTCTGTGCAAGGATGGGTTTTTGTGTGAGAAGAGACGGATGCTGTAAGGGAGGGTGCTCTGTTGCACTGGAGGCTGAACGCTCAACCTGAATCTCTCAGTTGCTGCCCGCTGTATAAAACCAGGGTCTGATATTCCCACATGCCCTCCCGCCATCTCTCCCATACCGCAAACGTATTTGTGCCCATCAACTCACGCTAATATCATACTTCTCGTCCAGCTCCAGTGTCTTGTCAAAATACTCCTTCTGGGTTCGAAGGACATCGGTGGAGCAAGTCCCATGCTTCTCCCATTGATAATTCCAGAACTTTGCATTTGCTCCTGAGGATTGCAAGAGACAGAAAGACACCTTGCGATGTCGCAGTCTGATATATGAGGTGCATCTAACATTGCAGCAAAGTTGCATTGCGCTGATAATGCTTAGTCTCGCGTACATCATGGAGGTGTTTGCAAGCATGGCATCACATAACATGCGGTTTACTAACCAATCCCCAAAGGCTGGATTTTGTCTCGACCCGTCTTCGAATGTTGAACTTGGTGCCGAACTCACCCTTGTAGCTGATCCAGTTGCATGCCATGGAGTCTGTGACGTTTTTTCCAAGTTTGGCTGCCGAGAAGATGTTGGAGCAGTTGCAATACTCCGGGAACCCACCGCCCTCATAGTTTGGCCACAGACCATGTAAGGTGAAGGCCTCACTGCGAGGAGATTGTTTTAGGAATGGGTTAGTGCACCGCGACGCAGGATCTATGGAAGAAATCGAACTCCCCCGCGACCCAGATTCAACGGCATGAACTGGCAGCCACCAGCCTTGGAGTGCATCATCCTTCGTGTCCCGAGATCTCAAAAGGGTCGTTAGAAAAATGAGGATGTGACTTACTAGGCATCTCTCGTGCACTGATCCACCTGACAGAAGTTAGGTCCCCATTGCCTGCGCGAGAAATCAACCTTAAGTAATCTCGGCTCCATCTATACCATCGGCGATGAGCAGGTATGTGGCATGTGACAATGCAAACCGAGCTCACCTGTTTAGGATGAAAAAATCGAAGCCTGGATCATTTTTCTTCTTGCAAGCTCTGGCAGCGCAGGCATGGAGCACGAGGGTTAAGCCAAGAACGATCAGCAACCTCATCGCAAAGTCACCAAGCTGTCTGCCGAGACTATGAACCCAATCCGCACAGGTCTGGATGCAATGGACACAGCTGCTTTGGGTTTTGAGTATCAATGTTTCGATACTATCTTGTTATCTAGGGTGATTCTGTTCTCTAGATGCCTTTTATGGTGAGTCGTGCCGGATATTTAGTAGCCACCTGAAGCTGCGCAGATGCGCGTTGACAGCGTGGATTCGTGGAGGAGCATCTGCGGCAGATTCATGCAACGTCGTTAGAGCAGTACAGTCGACTCAAGATCGTAAAACGCCAGCGCATGGTCCGTCAGACCGACTTCGCGAGCCAGACCTCTGTGAGTCAGCAAGGAGATGATGATGTCTGCCTGTGCTTGCGCACTCGGCGCTCGTACCCGAGCATGAAGACGAAAGGTAATTTCTCATGCCACCGCATCATATGTGCGCGGTAAAGGCCCCATTAGGATTCATTATCAAGCGCATGGACCGGTGGGTGTGACCTGCCATACATGCGGGACGAAATGTTCCGTGGGGAGTTTCAGGATGACGTCGATTGCTTGCAAGATCCGCACGGTACGAATGAAAGCGGCGTACAGCCAATAGCCAAGGAGAAGGGTTCGCGAAAAGACGAATGCATCTCTGCGAAGCAAACACATTGTCGAGGCTGTACCTCCATGCCCACCGGAAGAACACGGGGAGTCGAGCGGAGATACCTCGCAAGCTTTTGGGAATGCAGTACAGATGCGAAGCAGCATTTAGAGTGGGCTTCACAGGGTCGTGCTGGATTCACGTTATGTGCTCCTGCACCTGGTACTTACAGACAACGCAGCCGCTGCAGATCACCAGCCATCAAAATTTGCAAAGCCACCCCCTGTCTTCTGCTTTTTAGGTGCAGCTGTGCCCCCGCCCCGAGCCGGGCCGGCCGGGGCAGTCAAGTATTTGCCCACCCCGCCTTCGCCATCGTCGGCAGATGGCAGGGCGAAGAAGGGCTGTATCGGTGCCGCTGATTCTGTCTCCCGTGCAGCCTCTTTGGCTTCCTGGAGGGGTACAGGGCAGTGTGTGGGAGTGATTGGAGTGAGGCTCGGCCTTGTCAGCCAGCCAGATGCAGGGCAGGCGCACTTGATGCCAATGCAGTACCTGCTCAATACTCACGGTAGCGCTCTTGGCGGCGGCAGCCTTTGCATCCTCCTCCAGCAACTCCTTGTAGGGATTGACGAACACAGATGCTCCCGTGATCGTGATGGGCTGCGCAAGTTGCATGGATGTGATCGATGAACATGGATGGCCTGAGAATTGATTGGCAAACATGCAGAATGTGATCCTCCATCTGTCCCGAGTGGCCCCTCGCCGGTCCTGACCATCACTCCCCACACCCCTCGCGTGCCCACCTGGAGGGGCCGGTCCTCGTCGTCGACGGGCACCTTCTCCATGAGCGTCAAGGTCTCAAAGCCTGTGGGCCGGGATGCGGATCACGGTGACTCCACCTCCACTGAGACCAACTGATAACACATGGTATTAGCAACACCCACGCACAGCTCTTCTGCACACCCCATGCTCCTCCTGTCACCTCCGACTACCCTCCCGAACACGGTGTGCTTGTAGTCCAGGTGGTGCGCCGACTTGTACAGGATGAAGAACTGGCTGCCGTTGGTCCCTGGCCCGGAGTTTGCCATGGACAGCACGCCCCGCCCGCTGTGCAGCAGCGCCGAGGTCAGCTCATCCTGCGAGTGTGGGGTAATGGCAGGTGTGGCGGGGCGCAGGCACCGGGCATTGAATGGCACCTTGATGAAACATGCCACGGTGCGTTGCAGTCTAGCGACGCCCCGTCCTTGCCATCCGTGGCCGTCTGAGCAGACCAGGGCGTATTCACCTTGAACTTTCCGCCAAACACCGACTCGCCGCCCTTGCCAGTCCCGGTGGGGTCCCCACCCTGATTTGCAGTGGGTGTGTTGTGAATCATTACCATGGAAAGAATTCGTTGTGCTGCATCCTAGCAGGTCTACATGAGCAGGATCTAGGCCGGGTACAACCTGGTATCTCGTAAGACGGCCAGAGTTTCTGCACGCACATCCCGTCCGGTGCCCTGAAGTACGACCATCCCCAGCCAAAGCACAGAAAGTCTCGACCTCTGCCCCGCCTTCCAGGAACCCACCTGGATCATGAAGTTCTTAATGGATCGGTGGAAGGCCGTGCCCGTGTAGTAGCCCCCCTCCAGGAGGGCAAAGAAGTTCTCGCAGGTCTTGGGCGCCAGGTCAGCATGCAGCTCCAGGTTCAGGTCGCCCAGGCTGGTGTGCAGCCTCATGTACCTGCTCGGGGCGCATGTGGGCGCTGTCAATCCCTGCATCGAGACCCATGCCGTGGCGCGAGCGATGTGCCGATCAGCGTGTCACATACAGATGGGCCCGGCGGTCCTCGTGGTCATGAGCAGGCTGCTTGACCCACGTGCATGTGCCCATGACCGCTGCCCGGGGCCTCCTCTCCCTCGCAAAGTCCCAGAACGAACACCGACTGCAAGGCTCACCCCTTCTTCGTCGGCTTCAGCTCTATCAGCTCCATGGTGCGCTCGTTGCGGGTGACTGCGGCGAGAATGGGCGGCGGAGGTTATCGTTTGCTTCCAGCCCCGGGAGGGCGCATGGCATGTGGGATCAGCGCCTCACAGGTCGGCGCCCATGCCCACTGCCTAGCCGCAACCCATGCCACCCACCTGGCGTCATGGCGGTGGAGGTGAAGGCGCGTGAGGCGGCCCCCGTCGTGCTGTGCCCCACCACGAACTTGGCAGAGTAGGGCTTGGGCAGGGGCCGGCCGGCGCTGGCATCGAATGCAGGGGCCTGAGCAGGGGTAAGGGGAATTGTGAGTCGGCTTGGACAGTGCCTTACACCCAAAAGGTCACAGGGCTGTGTGTCCTCGCTTTCACCTCCCCCGTAGATAGCAAAGAGAGCGCCGGAAAGCCCGCTCTGCTCACGCGCCCTCCCTTACTGCCCAGCCAGGCACATGCTCGCGCACCTGGCCGGCCTGGCCCGAGGTGGAAGGCGCGGAAGGGGCGGGCTCGTCGGTGTTCCACGTGCTGGCGCCCGGCCTGAAGGACACATTGAGCTCGGCGCGCGGAGCCGACCTGGGGCAGGCGCGGAATGGGAGGTGGTGGGAACCAGCCCGGCCTCGCATGTGCGTGCGGGAGTATTCATGCCCGACTGAACACAGGTTCACAGGCGCATGCATCGCGAGTAACAGTACTCGGACGGTAACACCTCCTTGACCGTCTGGTCCATGGTTTCCCATGATGATCATGTGCAGTGGCTACACTTGCCTGAGGCGCGGGTCGGTCCCCCCTGGCTGTGTTGGGACCGCGGTGTTGGAGGCGTCCCCCTTCCCCGTGGCAGCCTGCAGGGCCTTGGCCAGCAGTCGCTCAGCCTCAGCCTTCCTGTGCAGTTTGGGTGAAGAGGACTGGGGTTCTCTACCAAATCAAACCAGCCATGTGGCCCAAGCCCCCATCTACGTGGCCCCCTCCCCCCCGATTCCCAGTCTCAGCACAGCCAACCAGTCAAGGTACCTGCCGCCGCCTCCTGCCTCAAACACGAGCTCGGCCTCCTTGGTGTTCAAGCTGGAAAGCACGCGTTGCGTGTCCTCATCCACCGCTCGAATGCCGTTCATCGGCTGGGCCTGCGGGGAGAGTGTGACCCGGGTCGACTTTCAAACATTGCACACTTGTCTCAAGCAGTGCACAGTCTCCTTGGATTGGGTTGCGGCTGTCTTCCTTCATCCAAAATCCTCCACACCTCTCGTGCCGCCCTCTCCTCTGCGCTCTCCACTGTCAGCTCCTTCTTCACATGGTCAAACTCGGCCAGATTCTTCCCGGAAAGATTCAGTGGATCCTGCACTGGCAGGGAGCAACTGGAGTTTGCACAGCTGGAAGCAGAAGGAATCGAAGGCAAATGAGCATGTAGGACGTGGGGCAGCATCAGGAAGTCTGGTGTCCCCATACCATCTCACTCTCCAATCAGGGTGCCTTGGGGTCAACTCAGTGCTGTGATGGAAAGCAACCTTGCAAGACAAGTCCTCAGCCCCACCAACTTGCCTGAATCTGGATAATGTCTTTTCGTGTGAAGGGCTCATCGGTGAGCAGGTCCCGCAGGTTCTTGGTCTTCAGGTTCAGCTCTTGCACAGCCTGCAGGGGCAATTCCCAGGGAGTGTGTGGTCTTGGAGGCTTTCACACCGTTTACCTCAATGAGTCTGGCGACATTCATACAGCTTCTCAGTGCTGGCACGCAAGAAAGTTGCTGCAAGACACCAACCCCATCATTGCCTCCACAGCGAGCGCCCTTCCCCCCGCATGCACACCTCGTGGCAGTAGACATTGCCGCTCGTGCGGATGGCCACAATGTGCGTGTGCGGCGTGAAAACCTTGCCCAGGGTTGGGCAGGCGTACTCTCCATCCGTGTTCTTGTGCCAGTGCAGCCTGAGGGAGAACCGGGAGCAGTGAGGGCAGCAATGAGGCCAGCAAGCTCCTGGCGTATCCGTCCCGCTGCACACCCTCGCACACCGAGCTTTCCTGCAGAGCCAATTTGTACCCCAACCTTGGCCATTAACCCCTGGCCCACTTCAACCCCCCACCTGATCAGATCCTTGAGTTCAAGGGGCTCCCCAGTGACAGGGTGCTTGTGGAACTTCTGGATGTATGGCACTGCATGCACGATGTCGAAGACTGTGCCATCGGCTGTGCACACCGCGTCCTCAAAGGGCTGGAAAGAGATCGCGCAGCAGTGGAAGGGCAAGCTCTTGAAAGGGACCCCCCTTGGGCCAGCCTTGTGCCCGCCCCATTCCTCCTTCCACTCAGTGGCAGTGAGGTAGGCCCGATCCTGTTCCGTGTTTACGATAGATTCGGGCTTTTGGCTTTTGAAAGGAGGACTCGGGACAACCTTTCAGTCAGCCATGCAAATACACCAACACAAGTGCTCAGTTACCTCGCACCTTTGCGGCACGCTTCTTCCCCATCCAGAGGAGATTTTCGGTCTATTTCTTGTCTGAATATCCTCGGTTCATACGACGGTGAGTCAACTACCCTGTTGATCACTTCCTCTTCAGAAAGTCCAGCGCAGCATCCTCCGTAGCAGGCGACCACACTCCCTCGAGTACCGGGCGAACCAGAAGGCAGCGTATCGCATCAGGTATCTGGTGAGATTATAATACGTGCGAATTAGTGCGATTCTCGCTTCCCCGATGGCGAAGCAGTTGCATTTCGATCTCCGCGCGCGCCCAGTCCAGCACCTGGATTCTGATAGAAAGGGCGACCTCAGTAAGTGGGGGAGTCCCCGGGTCGTACGCACCCGCCCCACGAGCAGCCATGCTGGGCCTGGCAGTAAAGCGCCAGGAATGCCGGGCACTGCCCTTTCACATCTCACGGTGTGCCATATCCTTGTCCAGGGTGAGTTCCAGGGGAGCACTCGGATGGCCAGGGGAACAGGGTACCCGCTGCCGGCGCCAGCCCCGTGAGCTGGTCCACCGAGCCCAGGCCGGATCGCTGGCGCGGTGTGCTGGCCGGCAGCGGGGCGGAGCACCAATATGAGGCTGCCATGCACTCTGAGACGCTCCCGATTCGGGATGTGCGCGCTGGCGAACACACCTCCGTCCGAAACGCCCGTCCGTAGGTTGAGTGTGGCAACCCGCCGGCCTGCAGAATGTCTGCTGTCCGCCGGAAGATCGTAAAGGAGCGCGGCTCGGAGCCCAATGAGCTGGAGGAGAGCGTCGCCCAGGTCTGAGGGGTCGGGTGCAGTGGCGGGAGGGTCCTTTGGAGCGGGTGGGATCGATGTGGGGATGCGTGGGATGGGATGCGTGGGGGCCCGCAGGAGATGCCGAAGAGCGGGGCGCGAGGAATGGGAGGGAGCGGGGTTGCCACAGGGGCTGTGGAGGAGTTGGAGAGGGGGCTGGCCAAATACAATCCAGGGCGGGCCTCAGCCACGTGCCACCACACTCTGCACCGCCATCCTCCCCGGGGCCTGGGTGCCTGTCCCTCTGGTCATGCCCTGGTATGAAAGGCTCACTTGCAGCGCTTCATGCCTCCCACCCCCCCTTTCTCCCCGCCCAGGCCCTGTTCGACCTGGAGGCCACCAACGCTGAGCTGAAGTCCGACCTGCGCGACCTGTACATCTCCGGCGCGGAGGAGGTTGACGTGTCGGCGTCCCGCAAGGCCCTGCTCATCCGCGTGCCCTTCCGCCTGCTCAAGCCCTTCCACAAGATCCAGCAGCGCCTGGTCCGCGAATTGGAGAAGAAGTTCTCCGGCAAGGACGTGGTGCTGGTGGGCGTGCGGCGCATCCTGCCCCCCGCGCGCCACGCGCGCCAGAGCGCGCGGCCGCGCTCCCGCACCCTGACCGCGGTGCACGACGCCTGGCTGGGCGACCTGGTGTACCCCACCGAGATCTCCGGCAAGCGCATCCGGTACCGCGTGGACGGCTCCAAGGTGCTCAAGGTCATCCTGGACCCCGTGGACCGCGCCAACATCGAGTACAAGGTGGAGAGCTTCGCGGGCGTGTACAAGAAGCTGACGGGGCAGGACGTGGCGTTCGAGTTCGCGCCCTCCGAGAAGGCCGACCAGGCGTGAGGGGCCGATGCCCGCGTGTAACCCCTGCTGCATCCAAAGTCTTTGGGCTTGAAGGGTGGAGGGGGGGGGGGGCGTTTGTGTGGGAGGGAGAGGGTGAGACGAGGAGGGGAGGATGTGAGGAGGGTAGGGGGAAGCGGCAACCAATGAGGAGTGGGGTGCGGAGGGAGGGTGGAGGGCGAGGCATGTGAGGACAGAGGGTGGAGGGCAAGAGGGGTGAGTTGTGCGGGCGGCCCTCGTTGCAGAGCGATGAATTCTTGGCAGGTGTGGGTGGGCGTGATGGCTCCAGCAGCCCAGTGGGGCTATGCTTCTCAGACTGATTGTCTGGCGGGAGCGAGAGCAAGGGGCGGGTGGGGCAGAGGCTCGACTTCCACAGGGATGGGTGCCCCGACTTGGAGGTGATCTTGTCGGCAAGAAGTGGGGGGGTGCGCGGGCATCGCAGCACATCCGAACATTCACAGCACATACCCCATCCTCGGTGCATTCCGCCAGGATCTCGCACGGCAGTAACTTGGTTCTCATGTCGATATCAGTGGGAGGAGAGTGAGCATCTCCGCACGCACCTGCACGCCGAAATGGGAAGGGCAGGAGGGTGCCACTTCCTTCCCCTCCTCATCGCGCTCGTGGGCCTCCTAACCGCTTCCCTAGGTCAATGTGCGCCAGTCTGGACGACTGAAGCCACTACTCAGCGAAACGCCAGTGACTGCGAAAACTTCAGCAGCGGCAGCGTGGACTTCTCGGGGGGAAACCTGACATTCTCTACACACCCGCAGGGTAAGACACCGTGCTGAGTCAAGGAGTAGGAGTATCTGCTCAAACAGTGCATGTCCTAGGAGTACGAGTAGATTTTGTGTCCACCGACGCTCACATCTTCTCTCTGCGCAGGGGGAGCGGCATGGGGATCCTACATTCCAGGTCGCCACACAGATTCCAACTTTGGGCAGCTCACGATCACGACCTCTGGGCTGTACAGCGACAGCGAGCAGGTGTACGCAGGTGCGGTGTGCATGCTGTCAACGGGAGTGGGCAAGGTGGATAGCTTCGCTGTTCTGTATTCTCCCGAGGCAGGCGTTGTCATCGACACTCCCCCACCCCCATCCAATGAAGTACAGCGGGATTCCTTGAGGGATACTTGACGGCCCAGGAGATCAGAGACAACTGGCACAACATGCACACCTACTTTGTGGAGGTCATGAACGCCTCTGTGCAGGAACCCATGCGCTGGTGAGCAGCAGTCTATTCTGTTGATGAAGCGAAAATCGCTATCTATGGATGAGGGTGTCCTTCCCGCAGTATCAGAGCTTGAAGGGGTGTGATTTTTCTTAGTGCGTTTCGAAGCAAGCTTTAAAGACAAATTCGTACCCACACATGCATTGTCTCTCCACAACAACTCCAGGATTGAGAAACAGGATTCCTGGCTACGGGGCGAATGCTCACAGCAGGCCTCCCGGCCTGCAGCCGACACTGCCGAAGCCAGGTTCTGGTCAGCCACCTGCCTGGCTGTGAGACAGTTTGATGGACTCAAGCACGGGTACTGGGCTGCAAACGGTGGCCCGGGCCCTGGAAAGTATGGCCCCATGTCTGACTGGGACTTCCTGTTCCTCGAATCGAATGGTGAGCCCCGGGACTGTGGCGGGAGGATGGCAATGCATGCGTAGCCTGCCATGCACACGGTGCATGAAGCCCGCTCCAGCTGCTATCGGCCAGCTGCAGCGCACATGTTAGGGTTTACCATCCCAGAAAGTACGCCATGGTCTACCTCCCATTCTCCTCGACACAGCTGACTTGTACGATATCATCGACTGGATGGACCCCAGCCAGCGGCCTTCCTGGTCTGAGGGCGCCAGCTCCGACCCACATGAGGACGAGGCAGGGCAAAAGGGCATGGGAAGGCGACACAGGCGTGACTCTGTGCGTGCGTCCAAGCCTGCATCACAGGCTGCAGCCGAGCGACTATTCAACCAGGTTTGAGTTGCAGGCTCAGAGTTGTGTCTTCTTGTGTGGCACCGGGTCCTGAGGACGTGAGTCTGAAAAAGATATGGAGCAGGCAGTCATATCATCATGAGATGCATGCCAGGCCTGCCTGGAGGCGTCGTGGTGGCAGCAAATTTGCCGGCATTGTGCCAGCCATGTCCTCACCCCAACCATCACCCTCTCTGCCTGTTGTGGTGCAGCTGGCCACGACGGGAAAGTGCTCGGCCCTGATCAAGCTGGCGCCAGACCTCTCCGAAATCTACTTTGGGCACTCCACGTGGGACACATATACGTAGGCAATGGGCTGGAATGGGCAGGCTTGCGGACTGGCCTGCCAGGGTGTGCGCCAGAGACATCGTGTGTCCTACCCCGATGCAGCCAGGTCCCCTCTGTGCACCCATGTGCCACCTGACCCACCTCCCGCCGCCCCCCCATCCGCGCATAGTGCAATGCTGCGCATCTACAAGCACTACAACTTCAACCTGACCGAGCTCCGCCCTGCTGCCGATCGGATGTCCTTCTCCAGCTACCCTGGGGAGCTGTTCTCGGACGACGACTTTTACCTCCTCAGCTCAGGGCTGGTGATGCTGCAGGTGGGAAGATGGGATTTTCTGGGGAGTGGGGTGGCTTGGCGGGGCAGTGGCAAGGTGCGGTTTGCCTGGCACAGCGTACTGGCAGGTTTCTCGGTTTCCCATGGCGAGGAGTGATAGCTGCCATCCTTGTGAAGAGTGGGAAGGTCGGAGACATAGGACACCACTTTGCAAGATGCTCGCCTGCTTCCAGCCGTCACCAGGTTCCCCTCCACCCGGGTTTCCCGCCCTCCCTCAGACCACGAACAAGATCTTCAACGACGAGCTTTTCGAGCTCTTGAGCCCGAGCACCGTGCTGAGCTGGCAGCGCATCCGCGCCGCCAACTGGCTGGCGAGCAGCGGCGAGGTGCGGCGCGGGGCTACCCTCCCCGACGTTGCTGTCCTATGTTCTCTCCTGCCCTCTCTCATGCGGCCCGCCCACGCTCTCCAAGCCTCCCACCCTCCAGGAGTGGGCCGCCCACCTGGCCCGCCACAACAGCGGCACCTACAACAACCAGTACATGGTGGTGGACCTGGCCAGGTTCAAGGCCGGCCAGGTCCTCATGCCTGGCCTGCTGGTGGTGGTGGAGCAGATCCCTGGCCTGGTGGAAAGCGCGGACGAGACCGACATCCTGGCGGGCGGGCACTGGGCCTCCTACAAGGTGCCCTTCTTCCCCAGAGTGAGTCGA